TTTGTTATTTTTCAGCAGAAAAACACTTCTCTCTTAAAATATTTTGGCTTCGTCATCGTCACCCATCAGCAACTACCTCTAACACATCATATATACTGCCAATCGTGGGACAACGCTTTAAAAGACTACTACTTGAGCTTCTATGTGCTTCTTGAACTTTGGTTCTTTTCCTTCTTCTTCTATCTAGTATCAGACACGAGCTTATACGCAGATTACTGTTATCCACTAATGATTATTTATAGATTGTTCTGTGTTTTCTTCTCTTCTCGTGGCTTTTGCATTCATCGACAACTGGTTGGTTAAGCACGGTTTAACAAAATCGGTTTTTTTCTAGGTTAAACCAGTGAACTAGTGTTTCAATTTTTTACGTTTGATCTACTGTAGCAGTTATTGTTCATATCTTCGTCTTCTTCTGCTTCACCGCTCTATACCACTACTTTTGAATAATAAATAGTATAATCGTAGATTTTGCTTCCCCTCTTTAGTTGTTCGTATTGTTTTCCTAAATCATGCTTAAACTGTTATATGACACTCTTTGATTCATCATTCTGCGTCACACTGTACAAAAGAATGACACACTTGTAGTTTTTTCATTGTACGTTGCATTGAGTCCAACTTTGTAAATATTTATACGTACTTAAAATAACATTACTTTTCTTTTGCCTTTCAGATATTCTGTTCGCCAGTAACCTTCACTTCCTTAGCCATTGTCGTATTGTTTTTGATATCCTTTTCATTCCTACGTAAATTTGTAGTGGATAAAATTTGGTTAAAGAAAAGCAGTTTTATCATTGATTATGTTTCACTTTGTCTAAGCAAATTTAGTGGAAATCCCAAAAAGTTTATTAAGATTTTTCAATGAAAAGAAACATTTTTTTACAGTTTTTAAATAATCGCTGAACGCTGTAGTTTTATGTGAAAAAAAAAAAAAAAAAACAGCTGTGTTTGGCTGACAGTGATTCGTCTTCAAGCTTTTTTTTTGTGTCGAAAAGTATTTTAAAAAATTTTTGTGGAATTAACTGACAGTTACTGTTTACTGTACGGACATCTAAAGCTTTCAGCATAAAGCTTGGGAGCGAAAACTTATTTCTTTTATTTTCTAGCAAGAAAGTTTTTCCTTCTCACAGTTGTGAAATATTTTTTAAAGCTTGTGATTGCTTTGTTTTTCTTTATCACCGAAAGCGCCAAAAAACAATAAGTTTTATTTGAATGTTATTTTAAATGCTTTTTGCATGATAAAAAGTAACTGCACAGGTTCGATAGCACAACATATGTGTTATATGTTTTGTTTAAATAGACAACCACTAAGAAAGAAGGTTTGTTGGGAATTAGAAACGGTTATCTGCGTTACTGGTGACTGCTACATTCGTTCTGTTCTGTGCAAATTTTCGCTTTTGTTAGCACTATACTGTATCGATTGTTTCAGCTTTTTCAACCCGTCTTTGTCTACTTGTGCCAGTTGAGTGCCATTATATAAGGCGCAGTTGTCAGTTTGTAAAAGCGTTTATGATGTCAAGAAAGCAAACTTTAGTGCGCTATGTAGGAATAAACTCTAATTCCAAAAATTCTTTCTGAGCAAGTCGAAACTGTTGCCGAAATATCGCTTGTGAATTGATTCATGTAGAAACCTTCGTTTCATTTGCTATTTTGCGTGCTTTAGTATCGAACTGACTAAGAAAACGAAGAATCCCTTCTTTATGGCTTTAAGATATGACTGTAATTTAACATAATTAGTTTTGTAAACTGAAGAGGCGAGCAAAAGCTGCTATAAAAGCGGTTGTTACTTAAGAACTACACTCTGAAAAAGAAAGATTTTGTTGAGAAACGTGTAAACTGTTGTCTTAACAACTGAAGTAGTTTGGCGAATGCACTTGAGCCCGTGAAATGGACATTTGTATCCAGTGGAATCTGTCGTGTCTGAATGTGGTTCAAAAAAAAACTCGCTTCTGAACAGTTGCTATTCAGTTGTTTGTTTGCAGGGGGAAGAAAGACCGGTGAACAGATATTTATTTCAGTGCTTAAAAAAATAGAATAAATAAAAAAAAAAGCTGCCAATTCCTTAAAAAATTATTTAAACCGTGGGATACATATAATATATTTCACTATCCTGCCAAAAAAAGTATATCTTTTGATAGGAATTCCAAAAAAAAAGAAAAAAAAAAACTGGTAATTAAAAATATTTCCAATGTTACGTTCAAAATAAAAAAAAGCACAGTTGTATTTCAAATTTGTTTCTTTGCTGTTGCTCACTTGTTTTTTCAAGAAACTGCTGTTCCAGTTATATTTGCCTCATATTACTTTATTTTATTTTTTACTTTTGCCATCTTTTCTTGTTACAGTGGATATAATATACAAGAAAAACTTGGATTTGTGAATTGTTTAATTCTCTAAATTTAGCGACTTATTCAGAAGAATAAAAGTTTTACCATCAAAAAAAAAAAAAAATTAAAAGCTTTCAATGGTGCATCTAATTTGATCTATTGTTTCTTAGTTTTTAACCATATAAAATACTGCAGTTTAGGGAAGGAAAATGGAAGCAGGGAAAATGAGATAATTTTAACAGTTACAACGATAAGTAAGAACACCTGCTAGAAGTTTTTGTGTACTAAATTAATTCTGTTCATTTCCAACGAGTTCCGAAACACCAACAGACGAGGTAAACAAAAGTCATCAAAAACCTGGATTAGTAGAGCCAACCATGAATTGATTCAGCGCACTGATATGAATCTGCACCAAGTGCTTATATCTGACCGGTTCACCGCGTGACTGGGAAAGCCTCACCGGTATACACGGAAAACTGGGTGAAAGAAAATCTAAGGTTGGCGAAGTGCCAATTACGCGGAAATTTCCTTTTGAATTTTGCCGAACTTGTTAAGCTGATGTATCGCTGGTTACTATCGTAGCATTTTGATTTCCTGCTATCTTCATTTGTTTCACTCAACATTTCCACTGTAATCATTTGTTTCAACCGGAAGTGCCATACTAAGCAATAGTAAAAGTGATGATTTTGGTGATATAAATAGTGGCAGTCACTGTCGCGGATTCCTCTGATTTTCAGATTTCAGTATTTCAAAAGCTTTATTTTACGGGCAACTCGTTTGACAAGCGAAATAAAAAAAGATGCATTTGGTGCTCTGCTGTATACACGTTTCAGTTTTGTTATAAAAAAATGGATATTTGTTTCTAATATTTAGTGCAGTATGGAACAGTTGTTTTTGAAATTCTGAGCGCTTTTGCAGACTCATTACTGTAGTCGTTTTCGACAGTTTACAATAATCAAAATTATGGTAGTATAAAAAGATTTCTATTTTTTTAATTCGTTACTATTATTATTGTTACCTTTTACTATTTTTTTGTTTTATAACTGTTACCCGTCGGCATCAAAATCAGCTATTTCATACAGCACATCACTGCCGAGAACGTTGGACTTTTTAAACAATTTTGGAGATTTATTTGTAAAATTTAATCTACATCAAACATAATAGCTTATGTGATGATTAGATTATTTGCTCTATCTCAAATAAACCATTTGTAGTTGAGAACAAAGAGCTCCGTTTGCTTCTTTGCTGCGAAGCATCTTTATTTGGCTCTGTTCACTATGTCTTTGAATTTCTTTATTTTATAGTGACCATATTTTTTTTGGAACTGCTATGGTTAAAAAGATACCTTGTCGGGACGATGAGCTCAGCGAACCATTGTCAGACGCAGAGGATCTTGGCACCGATGATGAAGAAAAAAACAAGGTTGGGTTCGTGATTTAATGTTAAAAATTACCGCTTATTTTCTCTTGCATAGAAGTCCGAACATCATTTATGTGTGACGCGTAAGGAGTAAAAATTTCGAGCGAAACAAAAGTCTCTTCTGTTTCAGTGGGATGAAATAATTTTTCAGGGGTCTTTTTGTCACAAAGAATATGATCCAGTCACCTTTAATCTGTTGAAGGTCAGACCTGTTGACTTTGCCAACCAAATCACTTTGCTTGACATTGCTGCTTTCAAAGCAGTGACGTCTGAGGTATTCTACTTCCTCCGTTATCCTTTTTTTAGATTCAGTTCTTAATGGTTTTTTGGCATCACTATTCAGGAACTGCTGTCTGGAAACTGGTCCAAGAAAAACAAGCGAGTTCTTGCGTCTAATGTTATGAAATTCACTGATCGGTTTAATCTTGTATGTTTGTGGTGTCAGCAGGAAATTCTAGCTTACGATAAGCCTTCTAAACGAGCTGAGGTGATGGGACACTTCATCAAGATCAGTAAAGTTAGTTTTTAAAGTTGTAAATTTGCTTTTAAAGACCTTCTAGAAACAATTTCTGTACTTTAATGACTTCTTGGCAGGCTTTCCTAAAAATTTTTCCTTCTACCTTTTTAATACTTAAATTTCAGCAACTTGCAATGTTAAATAACCTGCACTCAACTTTTGCCGTGATAAGTGCTTTACAAAGTCACTCCATACATCGTTTGAAAAAAACATGGGAGGTAAGTCATCCGGACTTTCTCGCTTTTGTTAGCTTCTTTCACCAGCAATATAGCTGCCTGTAAATAACATGGTTGAGCTGTTTTAGTGTCTCAACCGGCGTGAGCTTAATGCCTTTGTGGAGCTTGCTGCTTTGTTCGACAGCGATCGGAATTGGGAGAGGCTAAGACAACATTTAGAAAACACAAGCTTACCTTGTATTCCTTACTTGGGTATGATGTTTGTTCGGTTTTTTTGAACTTTTATACCGTCTTTGCCAAATTAACTTATTGTTTAGCTTGTTTTTGCTTGTTTTTTTTTGCCACATTTTTATTATCAATGGCAAAGTTAATTGAAGGCAACCAAAAGTTCTAGTTTTTACTTATGATATTTTTTTCAGGAATGTTTTTGACAGACCTTAACTTTATTGAAGCTAAAAATTCTGAAGGTATTGTTTCTGGAATGAGTGTTATGAAGAATATGCAGGCAGAAAACGTTGTTTGTAAAATCAAATGGTTTCAGCATTCTAATTATGGTCAGTAGTTTTTTCATTAACTGATATTTTTATTTTTTGAAGTATTTTGTAATAAACATTTTAAATTGACGAATAACTAAGTAGTCTCAAATTTGATGGTTTAAGACCGCCTGCCACGGGTCGAATGCATTATGAAATACCTGAAGTCTTTACAGTACCATGAGGAATTTGTCAAGTTTATAGAAGATAATATTTACAAGTAATAATTAGTTAGATTCTTAATTTTAGATTTTGTTGTTTTCTGCTTTATTATTTTGAAGTTTTTTGATTGTTTAGACAATCATTAGTGTGTGAACCCAACCCTTCGCCAAAGCATGGCACTCCACGTATGCGGAAAGCTGCTACTATTTCTAGGTTGAATTTTGTCTATAGTGAGGATGCGCGTTTGAAAGTTAGGGACGTTTTTGAAAATTTTGCGCCTAAATTGAAAAATCCGTATTTGAAACACGCTGCAATTGGACATCGCAAAAGTCATAGCCTTGATGCCCAGGCTGTGTTGAGGTGATTTTTTGAAGTAGTCGTTTTGTCTTTGTTGCAAGTGAAAGAGTATTCTTTTTGCTGTAGCCACTTCGAAACATTTCAGGCTAAAAGGCCACCAGAGCGAAGACAACTTGTGCCAGTGTAACAATACTTTGGACGGTATAAAACGTAAGTATTAAATTTCATGACACTTTTAGAAAAAAAAAAGAAATAAATTTTGAGAAGTCGGATGCTTTTTACTCAATAACTGAATGAAATTTTTGAAGACCTGATCAAGCACGGTAGTTTTGAACGATCAAATTTTTTGTTTACTTTATCATGCATTTTAATATTTCAGAACCTCTGACGTCTGCGAATTTTTATTTGGCATCAGAGGATGGCCAAACATTTAACGGTACTCATTTTTCATGTCTCTCTGAAGACACATGCGATAATGAACCCAGCAGTTCACAGCAAGGATTGTCGAAAGATGGAGTTTTTCAACAAATTTCCAGTTTTAGACAGCGGTAGTTACAGATAGTTTCGAAGTCTAAAAAACTTTTGTGAACCAAAATCCTAGAAATCTTATTATGCAGCAAAAATTCTTTTTGCAGTTTGTTATGTTTGAAGATTAAAGTTGGGCACTGCTTTAACACGGTCAACCATTATTACAAAATGAGTTTTGTCAATTTTTTAAAATCACTTTTTATTGCATTATTGCTTTTTAAATTTACTTTTTCACTTGTTTATCTGAGTTAGTTGTAGGATGGAGTTTATTAACCCTGAAATATGCAAAAGAAATTTTCAAAAAGGCAATTTTGAGCCTGCGCTTTGCTGGCAAGGGGAAGTAAGGAAAATTGTTATGAGGACGAAAGGTAGCAAACCCGCTAAGGTGAATTTTCTTTGACATTTTTCGACTATTACTCACTATAATACGAGCAACTATTTTTTTACTATTATAGAAATCTTGCATTTATATTTTTCGGAATGTCTACAGAGAATCTTCTGGAGTTTTGTAGACCTGTTTTCCTGTTTAATTTAGCGGCTATATTAACTTTTAGTTCATTTAGTTGATAATAAATTTTTTCAGCTAACTTGTAGCAGAAAGTGTTACTTAGAGCTGGTTGGCTCAACTTTAAGCCAGTTTGAACATCGTGTTATAACTATCAATTGCAAAACGGAAAGAGATCATTATAAAAGGAAAGTTAGCAGAAAAATGATTATTGGCGAAAATAAATGGAAAGTAATTGGACCGCAGTGCGAAAGCGATACTTTCTTTGAAATGCATCATCCAGCATCTGGTAACTGTTTGAAATTTCTGAAATTCATTTGTTCTGAATGATATATTTAAACTGGTTGCTTTAAAACTGTGTTTTGCTTCCGATTCCTCTTTTTTAGTGCAAGTTGTTATTTTAACTTGTTGTTTCAGTAGCTCGTGTGTTAAATAGTTTTTATTTTACGAGCGAGAACACTTTAGGTCGTATATACCGTTACGTCTGCAATAGTCATACAGCAGCGGAGGCTTGGCATTCGAGGTTACTGAAAGCTAGCGATACGAGGGGCAGATGTGAAGCCGGAGACTTGATAACATTTGATTAAGCTGTCAGTGTTGCAGTTGTAGTGTATGTACATATGTTTTGTTTAGTGTCTTAAACTTCACTTTGTTGCTGGAACACATTTGTATGACTGTGATAAGCTTGAATTTAGTGTAGTGAGCTAGAAGCTCATTTTCCATAGAAATTAGCTTTTGCTTTTCCTTTTTTTCTCATAATATTTTAGTAATAGACTTTGTTTTCGCATTAACATTTCCTGAACGGGTGTAGTGAAGTGTACTAAAGGCTGAAAGGAGTATTAAAAGGCATTTCGTTTACAGCCATTGATCTTACGGTTCTTTGTAGCTTGATACTGTAAAACATTAGGTATTGTTGTCAGTTGGAACTAGTTGGCCTGCTTGTCTTTCAGAGTGCCAGGAACTCTTTAGGGTGCTACGTATTATGTTTTCGCATGGAGGTAGCGGGAGCAAAGCGTGCATGCAGCATTCCTTCTTTGTCGAACTTTTCGGAATTTCAGAAGCAGGGCTGAGATAGAGATAAGGTTTGGATGAAAGAAGCGGAAGTGTTCTATGAGGATTTCTTACAATAAATCACGACGAAAGGAAACGGCTGTACTAACCAAACGGAAGACAGCACAGAAAAGCTACAGTTAAGTTTTTTTTTGTCTGAACTATTCAAGACGGGATCTTGTGAACTTTTAGTAAAATTGGGGAGAATTGTTTACCGAGATACAAAAGAATGTTTGGTGCTCTGACTGTAGCTTTATGGAAGCAAGCGAGATGTTCTGGCGTTATTATTTATAAAAATACGCGCACAATAAAGAAAATTAGATATCCCTTTGCAGTTGGTTTCTGCTGAAGCTTATCATCCATTTTGGCCTTGGAAGATCATTTCTTTTCGCACTTTTGTCTGAGAAAAATCAGTAACGTCCAAACTATTTGGGGTATTGAAGCGTTTTCAATTGTCCAAAGTCTATTGATTATACTGAACATATGAATGACGGCGGCAAACGTAATGTAGACGGCTTCTGGTTTCTAGGCTCATAGAGTGAAACACTGCTCCGCACATTAATTTTGCCTTTTCCTTGCAGTACGCAAAGTGTTTTCTCCACACTTCTGCGCTTATTTTTGCTTCAAGACGGGGCTTTCCAGCAATGTCCGAAGAAAAACTTTTTAATTCTGTGGATGTCGCTGGAAAAGAAGTATTTAAAAATGCTCAGTAGCTGAGCTTCATAATGCTTTCACTTTAAATTTCTTTGCAGCTGGAAATAAAGCTTTTTATTCCAATGTTACTTACAAATATGTGAATAAAGTCGTCATTTATGTGTTGCTATGCGTAACAGGCGTAATCTACAACAGATATTTGACAATGTGGTGGGAACACATCATGGGTAAGATTAACCAGGGTCTTTTTTACAGCCTTTCTGTATCTTTCCTGGAAGTTCAACTACTGCCACTGTACATCGCAATTCCTCCATCCTACTTTCAAAACTTTTCATTAGGATCATTTAAAATATTTTAAAAAATCTGTTTAGAGGAGTCCAGCATGCAAAAAAATTTGAAACAAAATCTTGTAAATTCAGGGTAAATGACTGAAAATTTGTTATGTGATCTGCTTATCAGAAAATGTTAGACTTACTTTCTCTTCATCTATTCTTTTTGTAATCACTGACGCAACCTCGTTTGTCTAATGCATCTTTTTTTTTTTTT